TTATTTTGTGGTGGGTGGGGGGTGGAGGGTGGGTGGAGAAAGGAGAGATAGGGAAATGGAAAGTTGATATGGTTATTATATATGAAAGATAAATGTTATCATTGTAGAATTTGACAACTTTAAATTTAAGTAAGTAAAGTATATTTTAATATATAAATTCTTTCAATATATAATTATTTTTTCAGGTCCCAGGTTCCATTTTTTCTCAACTTTTTCATTTTTTCTCAACTTTTTTGAAGACAACGCACAAGAATTGTGCGTTGTCTTCAAAAAAGGGAAAATGTTTGTTCAAAAGAGGAGGAAAAGCTTTTGGTAACTACTTATCAAGTTTAAAAATTTTCAAAAATTTTCCAAGTTGAAAATTACATTAACATTTGACAAAGTAATGCCAATATCTTCTTTAATATTTTCAATTTTAAAGCAGCCGCGGCGCTATGGTGAGAGTTCTGACTCAGAACAAAGAGGTCCAAGATTTGATGCAGGTTTGTGCCAAAAAAGCGACATTGAAAAGCGCCTCATTCGCGGTGCTTGTGGTAAGACTGTAAGAATTAAATGGAGTACCTTAAAAACCATTAAAAAAAAAAAAAAAAAGTGAAATTAAAAAATATTTACCAACCATTTTTTCGCGATGTGATGCTCTTTCTTCTGTTTTGATATTTAACGATTTTTCTTAAATTATTTCAACAAGATTAAAGCTATTTGAACAGATTAAAATTTTTAATTCGAATTAAATTCGTATCAAGTATGCGAGCGAAAGTTTGACGCAAGAAATATATTTTGTTTTAATAAAGAAATATTGTATTGCGTGGTTAAAAAAACGTATCTTGCAATAATTATGCTAAATTTGGATGTATTTTGTTTTTATTTACTATGGCAACAACATCATCTTATTTTGAACTAAGCATTTCAATCAATCTTCTGGTTTTAAGCCAATGTATTTTGAGCTATAGTTAGAAATTACTTTTCCTTAAAAAATTTAAAAAAATAAAAAATTGTAAAAAAAATCTTAATTATTTTGTACCATCTCTACATTTACTACATTAATTTTAACCATTCACGACGACAATACCATACGGTATTCTCTGAATCCCCGAGCTAATTTTCGATCTTTATTTATTTATTTATTTGTTATTTTGTATATTTTATATTTTAAAATTGAATGCTGTTTAAAATGTTTCTCCTCTAATTTTTCTTAAATATTACTATTTACTTAATTACAAATGTGTTTTATGAGTTGTTTAGAACTTTTTTTTTTTTTTTTTGTAAATCAAAATGTTTAATGTATATAAGTTATATAGCATAGTAAATTAAGTATATAATTTCTAATTATAGCTCCAGATAAATATTTGTGTTTTTTAATAAGAATTCGACAGTCAAAAAGACCATCAAATTTTTTTTAATAAATATTAAAAGATTATAGATAAGAATTATTAAATTAAATAAATGAAATGCGCTTTCCCAAGCAGCAGTGAACGCTTCATCAAACGATGCTTTCAAAAACAGCTTAGCAAAGTAACATTTAAAGACACAATTGCTGCTTTGTCTAACGTCTGTGTTTTTATTTTTGTCACCATAGAGAGGCTTGGCGTGCGTGACACCTCTTCATCAAATCTATAAATAGATTTATTGTATTTATTTTTTTAATCACTAAATAAAAGTAAAAAAATAATAATACTAAAAATAGCTTGATTAAACCGTTAATATATATATATATATATATATATATATATATATATATATATATATATATATATATATATATATATATATATATATATATATATGAGGAGGGGGGGTGCCATTACAACTTTTGCCGACTAAAAAAAAAAAAAAGCCTCGTTTTTGAAAATTTGCCGACTGCAATGACGACATTTGCCGACTGACTAGTTAAAAAGGGTCAAATTTGCCGACTAAAAATCATTGATTGGGGGTCACCCCCCCCCCATATATATATATATATATATATATATATATATATATATATATATATATATATAGTCTTGCATGTCTCTTGCGTAGCATCAAAAAATATTTCCCATAAACTGTAGTTAGAGCGCGTTAATAAACTAGACCAGAAAAAGTTTTAAAAATTAAATTTTTTTTTTTAATTGATAGACTGCCTGGCCAAACCAAACCCTCAGTCGATGTAGCAGCACTCTCTTGCGAGTCAGGCTATTTGTCAGTCGATGTAGCAGCATTCCCTTGCGAGTCAGGCTATTTGTCAGTCGATGTAGCAGCACTCCGTTGCGAGTCAGGCTATTTGTCAGTCGATGTAGCAGCACTCCGTTGCGAGTCAGGCTATTTGTCAGTCGATGTAGCAGCACTCCGTTGCGAGTCAGGCTATAAGATAGTCGATGTAGCAACATTTACGCAATGTTTTTTATTAAATCAATAACAAAAACACCACTAATTAAAAAAAACTTTCTAGTCGTTATAATTGCGGTTTTTTAAAAATTTTTTAAAAAACAATTAAATTTAATGTACTTCCGCATAAATTAATTGCTTTGACATTTCGATGACAATCAAAAACAGCTTAAGAGACGAGGTAATTAAAATTGTAGTCGTAAGAGACTTTTTTTACATTAAAATGCTCTTAAAGCGACACTATATGAGTATATACATATATATATATATATATATATATATATATATATATATATATATATATATATATATATATATATATATATATATATATATATATATATATATATATATATATATATATATATATATATATATATATATAGTATATATATATAAGTTATTTATGTATGTAATTTAGAGTATAAAGCATTAAAGTTACTAATAATACTAATGTATGTAATACTAATTATTATTATTTGTATTATGTTCTAACTTAATGTATCGGTTTTACAACTCAAATGCGAAGTAGCGGTAAGTTATTGAAAGAAAAAAAAGTTCATACACCGCAATTATAAAACTTGTTGTTGGTTAATCTTTGCTTTTACTTTTAGCTATGGTTACTCGCTAAAGTAATTTTAAAGCAAATTAAACATAACTTTTTAAGGGAATCTAAAATGAATTAAATGAAGGCTTGCCTTTTTTGTAAATTATATATTTCTTAAGCATACTTTAATAATAACATCTAAGATTTTGAATTTTATTATAATAATGATTTATCGATTTAAAACGCAATTTTAATATTCTCGGTTTCATTCATTTTGAAATGTTTCGTTTTTTTGATTCGTTACTTTTTTGTTTATTTCTGAGTTTTTATTTCTGCTTTAAAAAAAATAAAGAGTGCTCTAAAATTTATTTTATAAATTTAATATTTTTAAGTATCTGCGTACGAGATATTTAATTGATTCAGATTTCTGGTGCCGTAAAAAATTCTTAGGTAGTGTTCCACTTCAACGATCAAATACAAAGCTAGACATTGAGTTCATTACAGCAGAACTCTTTTCTCAATCAAAAATTAAAAATTTTGTTACCAGAGCTGATATTGACTTTTTTTTAAATTGCCGAAAGATGATAATAATAGTAATTGACCGAAACAATACTCTGAAACGAAAATAAACCGAATTTTTGGATATATTAGTTCAATATCGAAACCGACATTACGGCAAACATTTTTCCGAAACTAAAACCGAAATTTTGGCTAAACAAATTTAATTTTATTAGAGAATGTTATCTAAAAATGCAAACTTACATTTGTTGTTTATTTTGATTTCTTGTTTTTTTTACATATGTTGTTTATTTTTTTACCACTTCTTTCCATCTTGAGAGGAGAGTTGCATAAGATGCGCAGGTTCCTCAGATGGTATAACCTCATTTAGTGTAGACTACTGACTTTTTTTGCGAAATATTTTGATTAAGTATAATCATACAAGTTTGACGGTGTTATTTATTTTAAGTTCTTGGTTTTTATAGTTAATTATCTTTTATTGTTTTATTATTTAAAAATTTTACCACCCCGTTATAATTTTTTATTAATCAATATTTTGTAATTACATCAGAACGAAACAAGGTCATCAAAAATATATTATATCCTCATTATTTTATGCCTATCTACTGCTAATTCCATGGATTATATGAGATGATACATAAGCTGTAGTAATGCTTTTTAATTTATGGTGAAGTTTCTTAATTTGGTGAAGTTTCTTAAGGCTTTTTATTTAAAAAAGCGCGTTTTTTTTGGGTTATTCTCCACGTAGCTTTAATTTGGTATTTCAAGAGAGAAATTTAAAAAAAAATAAATAATATCGCAAACTTTTAAGAGATAGGAAAGATTTATTGTTTTTATATATTTAGAAGAGAGTGTGTATGAAAGAGCCAGGTTTTGAAAGAGCCGATGCTATTATATCTAACTTACCGCCACCCGACTATAATTGTGTTTTACTTTTTGTGTGGCAACGCTGGATACCTGTCACTCACAAAAAATTTAGAGTTCTACTAAAATAAATAGCGTCGTAAGGGTGCAATAAAAATTTTGCAAGTAAAAAGTGTTTTTTTTGGGATTTATTTATTTAATTTTAAAATAAAGAGTATTGTATTATTTGATAAAACTATATATGTTGCATTGTTATATATCTATCCCAGTGGGAAAAAAGACGTCGAAAAGACGTCTTATAAAGTCTTATTAACGATGTCTTTAAGACGTCCTTTTTTAATCGATTATGCAAATCTAATAGACATCTTTTTTCGACATCGAAAAGGCGTCTTTTTTGTCTTTATCTTGTCATGAAAAGACATAAAAAATGCGTCTTTAAGACGTCTTTGTTTATCAATTATGCACTTTTAAAAAAGTGTTTTTCGGAACGACTTTTTTGTCATACTTATTAGTATACTATAATATCCTATACACTATAGTATTCCTACTTTTCTTAGGTGAAAAGTTATTTTTATTAAATGAAAATGATAATAGCTCTTCATACAAGAAAAAAACTTCTTTTAGATGTCAATATAAAAGAGGATGCATTTTCTACATCTTTTATATGTTTAAACATAGGAGAATAATATAAAATAAAACAACAGTATTGTTCAACAGAATATTTTTTCATCTTTCTCTTTCTTTCTTTTCTGTTTTTTGAGCGAGCTCTGATTCTTGAGCGAGCTCTGTTTCTTGGAGTTGTTGAATAAAATTAACTATTTCACGTCGAGAAATCCTTTTATACAAGCTGGTTACGACTTTAAGCTGGTTACGACATCTAAAAAACGAGTGAACAAACAACAGCCTATTGCTTGAATGTAATACAAAAAAGCAAATGAAACTTGATTAGCAGAGTGGAACACATTAGACTTACCGACTATTAATTCAAAAAGGGCTGATCCTTTTAACCCCTTTATGTTTTCAACGCGGTCCTTTCTTTTTGAACCAACTAGGTAGGATTGGGACAGGAGTCAAACGATAAACAGTCTAAAAATAAATAAAAATGAGTGTGTTAAAGAAATTTACGACCATCAAAATGACTATACAACGATGTATTTTATTATGTAGTACTTAAATCAAGCTAAATATTTGCACTTCTCAGATTTGCTATGAAAGCCAAGTTATTGAAAACAGATACTGATATTTTTCTGTCTTCTATGACATGACTTTTTAATTGAATTTCCCTGAAATTAAGTGTTGTAGACTCATAACAATTTAAAAATCCGTTATTGACTAAAGACTATCAAAACAAAAAGATAATTCAGCTAATACACCTTGAGAGTTGTGATTCATTTAAACTGGATAAAAGTATTAATCAAAGCTCTATTTTAGCCTGAAAGATAATGATGCTTTACCTAACAACATAAAATCATAAAAACTGGCGATATCATCAGCAACACAGATGAAATACACATAAACAAAAATGAAGTCTAGAAAGCTGCAATGATGTTTAGATATAAGAAAGTGTACCTTTCCAGTATCATTTTCACTTGGTCTTTTGTATTCAAACCAAAAGTTTTGAAACAGTTCTAAAGATAAATCTGTTGTCATTATATACAACTTTTTACTTTGTTAATGACAGATAACAGTTTACAAGGAAATAACAACTTTAACATAAAAATTAAAGAGCCAATCTTTTGTATAAACAATTTTATCATTCAACTAAATAAAAGCAACAAAATTATTCAGATCATTTAAAAATAAGTAAAAAAAAAATTGCAAGCCAACTAAATGCTTCCTCTTTTCTATTGTTCGTTTCACTGGCACTTGAACAAGTAAATATAGAGAGAAATTGTTTACAGGTTTTATATGTATATATATATATATATATATATATATATATATATATATATATATATATATATATATATATATATATATATAATATATATATATATATATATATATATATATATATATATATATATATATATATATATATATATATATATATATACTATAATATATATATGCATTTATATTATGAATATTTTACATAATATATTACTTTATTATATAAATTATTGAATAAACCCGCTTCCCGAAAAAAGTTAATTTTTAATTAAGTTTCCTATGCAAAAGCGTTTTAACATAAAATAAGTTATACAGTAGCTTTCATAAATTTAGACGCATTCATTTTATTTTCATATATGTAAGAAAATACTCAAAATAAAAATAAAATAAAAGTACTACCGCTATGTTTGATATATAATTTACAAGAGGAAGTGAAACTCTATTTATGAGTACCTTAATTTTTTTTTACAGGATGTTTATTACTCATTCTATACCGATTAACACAAAAAAGTTAATTGATAAGCTTGATTTTATTTTGTTCATAAATTGAGACGCGCAACCAAAAAAGTTTTATATCTTGTTAATTGATAGTTAATAAGTAGTTTTTTCCCCATATTTCTCATTAATAGGCCTAAAGTAATTGATTTTGTCAAAAAACCTTATATAAATATGACTTACCTGGAATTAGTTAATCATTATTTAATAAATAAACAAAAGTTAAGTTAGTTTTGCTCTAAAAAGACGCCAAAAATGGGCAAAAGACGTATCACTCAAGGTGAAAGATGGCAAATTATTGCGCATATCAAAGAAGGAACCAAAAGTAATAGAAAAATCGCCAAGTTAATTGGAGTTTCTAAGAAATGCGTTCGGACAACGAAACAAAACTTTCTTCACACTAGTGGTGCCAGCGAAAAAACGAGGCCAGGTAGACCCTTGTCAACCACCAGAAAGGACAATCGTGTTCATTTTAGAGCTGTCAGAGCTAATCCAAGAATTAGTTACAAAGAATCAACCACAGAATTCAACACAACGCGAAATACATCTATTTCTCAAAGCACAGTCCGCCGAATACTTATCAAATACAAGATTGGAGTCTACACTGCTTTAAAGAAACCGCTTCTGCGTCCATATAATAAACAAAGGAGACTAAAATGGTGTCGTAAAAGAAGGTATTGGACAATAGAACAATAGGAAAACATTATGTGGAGTGATGAAAGTAACTTTGAGCTTATCAATCGCAAATCTAACATAACAGTCAAAAGAATGGCTCATGAAAAGTATTACGCCAGGTACATTAGACCGACTGTACAAAGTGGAGGAGGCTCGGTAGGAATCTGGTCATGCTTCAATTGCAAAGGTGTTGATATGTGCCAAACATACACCGGAAGAATCAACTCCAGAATATACGTATAAGTACTGGAAAACAACTTAATTCCATCAATTGACCTGCTTATGCTCAATGATAAACCATGGAAACTTCAACAAGATGGCGCTACTGCACATACTGCATAATATACAAAGGAGTGGTTCAACGATAATAGTATCATGACAATACCGTGGCCTTTATACTCAACTGATTTAAACCCGATTGAAAACATTTGGACTTGGATTGACCGTGAATTAGCAAAGGTTCAAATTTCCACACTTACTCAGCTGAAGGAATTCCTTAAGGAGACCTGGTATGGGGTCCCAGAAGCGATGTGCAAAAATTTTGTTGAGTCTATGCCTAGAAGAGTTCTTAGTTGTATTAAAGCAAAAGGCGGATACACAAAATATTGATTGGTTCATAAATTACGCCTTCTAATGTATCGTGCGTCTAAATTGATGAATAGTTTTTTTTGTCTAATTTTTTTAATACGATGTAGTTGTACCTAATTATTACTTAGTATTTCATTTTTTTTGTAAACTTTTTTTAAATTTTGTATTCTGTATGTATTTATCTAATAAATAGAAAAAAAACTAAACCAAAATCTTTTTTCGTCATTGTTTTATCGTTGAAAAACTAAAAATTTCTATTCTCAAATATGAGTGCGTCTAAATTTATGAAAACCACTGTATAAAAGTATTTTGTAAACAAAAAACGGAACAATCAGAACGTATCCAAAGATATCGTAATTACGATACTGTGGGTTAAAACCCATCTTTGTTAGGTTTTATTGGCAATAATTATTTTTAATTTTCTTAAACAAATAATGATTTCCTTATTAACAACCAATTGACGTCTTTTTGACCTCTTTTTTGAAGAAGTCTTTTTAAAAGACGTTTTTCCACATCTTTATTTAGGCTGATTATAAAAAGACATAACAAGTCCTAAAAAAGACGCCTTTAATTCGTCTAAAGATGTCTTTTTTCCCACTGGGATGTGTCCTTTTTTTCCACAAATAATATTAGATTAAAGTTTTGGTAAAAAATGTTTAATTTCAGGTTAATTTTTTTACCATACAATTTTTTGAAAGAACCACTTTTTTATGCTATGAAAAAGCCGGCCTTTCCTATTAAAATTAAACAATTGTTATGCGCTTTAATGACTTAATCGTTTTTCGTAATGCTTCGTTGATAATATTCTATTGAAATTAATTGTTTGAAAGGCTTTTCCTAAAGTCGTAAAACGTAGGTGCATTTGAATCTTAAAAAATATATTCAAATACTAATGACGCTTTTAATAAAGCTTAAATAATTTTTTTTTATAATTAAAATTTATTTTTGTTTCAAACTTCCTAACATTTTGTCAAAACTTATTTTGTATTATTGTATTCACTCATATATCACTAGCATAGTAAATATATGTGAAATGCCTTATAATCACTATGATTCATAGATAACATTATTCTTTAAGATGTAGTCAGAACAGTTTGTTCTTTTGATTAGTGTATATACACTTTTTATAAACGTTTGGCTTGTGTGTCATTAATACATTAAACGTTTGGCTAGTGTGTCATTAATAATTAGCGTGCTAATTATTGACAAAAGTCACAAGTTGTGATTTTCTATTATTATAACGTTTTTTTATTAATTGTCGACAAGAGTCACAAGTTGTATTATATGCTATATAAAGCGAACAATTTTTTTTGTAAATATCAACTTTGTATATAAGTAAAAGAAAACGTTAACAACAAAAAAAATGGCTTTTAAATGTGTCGAACAACAAGCTAACCGGGCATGTCTATTATCTCCGCAATATGAAGATGGACAGCCAAAGCGATTTATTCAACAAATGACTTCCTTCTTTGCAATAAACAATATAACTTCAGATCAACACGTAGCGTTTTTGCTTGCCGCTCTGCCGTTAAAGACTTACAAGACCATGGAAGAACTAACAGCACCGGAAGTTCCAGAGGATGTTTTGTACGAAAAATTGGTAACGAAATTGGAAACGTTGGAAATAAGAAAATCATCGTTAATCTCACGGTATGAGTTTGGAAAAATTTACCGAGGTACTGAAGAATCTATACAGACTTTCGCGCATCGAGTGATTCGAGCACCTCAAGACTGCAAGTTCTTGCCCTCAGAGAGAGACGGCCGACTTCGTGACCAATTCATAATTGGCATTAATGATGGTGCCATTCTTCGGGGAGACGATGTATTGAGCTTTGACGATTGTGTCAAGACTGCATCCGTGGTTGCACAAACAAGATTAGATGCGGCATGTTTATCTGTAAATGAAGAAGTAAATGCGATTCACCGGACAACTGGAATGACAAGTTATACACGAAGAAAGAAATTCGATGTTACAACTGTGAATCCTTAAATCACTTTGCACGTGAATGTACCTCTTTATGCAAAAAATACTTGCATAAACATGCTGCAAAAGACTGCTACAAACGTCAAAGAAACCAGGAAAACTTAAATGGGAAGAGTTCGCATTAGGTATCTTTACAAGAACTCGTCCCGAAACAAGACTACCTACTATTGACTTGGTAATAAACGGAAGAAAAGCTACAGCGCTTGTGGATACTGGTTGTTCGCAATCAATTATCACCAAGAAGTTACTGCCGCCTGACTATAAAGTGATTCGTGTAGTAAATGTTGCAACAATGGGCGGAATAATTCGATGCAAAGAAGTTAGTGCTAAAATATGAAACCCAACGAACGGGTGCTTGGTGGATGTGGTGGTTCTGAGTGTAAATGAAGTAATAAACAAATACGAAATGATTATGGGTATGGACTTAATAAAGACGTGTGATGGACTACAAATTGGCACTGGAAAACTGAAATTGTGTAATTCTTTGATTGAGTTGCCATCGAAACTTCGTGTTGCGACAATTGAAATTGAAACAAGCAAAGCTTATTTTGATGGCAAAAAATGGATTGTAAGTTGGGAGTGGGAAAACGAACCTAAAATGAAAAATAGAACAAGTCAGTACAATGTAGCTGACCAACATTGTGAGGCGTTTAACAACGAAATAAATGAATGGATCAAAGAAGGTATAACCATCAAATATGACGATAAAATTATGGGAAAACCTAAAGGTCTACACCGTTAATGTGTGTCATTCAAGATAATAAAAAGAAGATAAGACCTGTGCTTGATTATCGTGAGCTTAACACGTATGTAAAAGCCTCTACAAGGGATGCTGTTGTCATCAATGATGCAATGAGGGAGTGGAGACTCATGTGTAAAAACAGCAATGTCTCGGTAGTGGATCTAAGAAGAGCATATTTACAAATTCACTTGCATAAAAGGTATTGGCCTTACCAGACGGTCATCTATAAAAATCAGCGATATGCACTTACACGTTTGGGCTTTGGTTTAAGTTTGGCACCAGTGATGATGAGCTCAATATTGCGGTATGTTCTCCAACAAGATTCTGTACTGGCAAAAATAACAAGAGGATACATTGATGACACCCTAGCAACCAATGGAAATAGAAGAAAGCTGGTGATACATATGAAGAAATGGGGTCTTCATGCAAAAGCACCTGAATATTTTGGCGAAAACCCAGTTCGTGCACTAGGATTAGAAGTCACAGTAAATCCATTAACAAAGGAGATGTTTTGGTAGAGAGAACGCGAGCTTCCTATTATTAAATCTGTGCTCACAAAGAGGGATATATTCTCATTATGTGGTAATCGGATTGCTAATCTACCAGTTGCTGGATGGTTGAGACCGGCATGCAGCTATATAAAAAGATGTACAAACGAAGCAGGTTGGGATGAACCTATTACGAATAAGTATGTTATCGAAATGATGCAGGAAGTTGTAGATAAAGTCGTAAAGTGCGATCCGGCAAAAGATGTATGGAATGTTAAACCAAATGCATTTCTGACTGTATGGTGCGATGCAAGTTCGCTGGCAAAAGGAGTTGTGATAACGCAAGGTGACAGAAAGATAGAAGATGCGACATGGCTCCGACCAAAGTCTGATGCAATGCAGATCAATGTGGCCGAATTAGATGCATGTATTGAAGGTCTAAATATGGCATTGAAATGGAATCCAAGTGATGTCTCTATTAAAACTGATTCTCATAGTGTATTTAGTTGGTTAAATTCTGAATTGACTTGTGACAAACCTGTGAAATGTGCTGGGCAATGCGAAATGTTAGTTTGACGAAGACTTCAAATATTTGAAAAATTGGTCGAGGATTATGTCATAAATGTAGCTGTTACATGGGTACCAACAACTAAAAATATTGCAGATGAACTCACAAGAGTGCCAACAAAATGGATAAAAAACAAAGTTGCAACACAAGAATGTAATACCATTTATAAGTACGATAAACAGCAGATTCGAAAAATTTGTTCACTAGCACATATGGGAGTTTCCAAGAGTATGGAGTTATATATGCGCGCTGGTATCCACGTTACCAGAGACACAGTGAAACATGTTGTCGCTGGATGCGATGTATGTAACTCGATTCACCCTAATGTGATGTTGTGGGATAAAGGAAATCTTGCTGTTAGCAAAGTATGGGAAAGAGTAGCCTGCGATGTTACTCATGTTGATTCATCGCTATATCTCACTTGTATTGATTGCGGCCCAAGCAGATATACGTTATGGACACCATTAAGCGACGAAAGTGAAACAACGGTTGTTCAAGCGTTAGAAACAATATGGTCAACACTTGGACCTTCTTCTGAAGTTCTTCTAGATAACTCTAAGTCATTTAGGTCTCAGCTTATGCAAACTATGGCTGCGAAATGGGAAATAAGGCTCATCTATCGAGCTGTTGAAAAACCATCGGAAAATGGAATAGTTGAAAGAGTTCATCGGACGGTAAAAAGAACAAATGCAAGAGTAAAATTTGGTATTCCCATGTCTGTATTTTTAATCAATAACGTTCCATCAAAATACGGCACCTTTTGAAATATTTTGCCAACATCACAAACGAGTTTGAATTCCTGGAATCGATAAAATCGAATCAACACAAAAGTCGATGACAGAGTGTCGTGAATGGAAAGTTGGCGACAAAGTGTGGGTGAAGCCCAAGCACATAACGCCGTGAACGCAACGATGGCTGAAAGGAAGTATAGTGGCATTGCATAATGGTTTAACAGCTGAAGTTGATGTCAACGGACATACGTTACCACAACATTTTTCTCATCTGCAACATTGTCGTGTAAACACAAAAGAAGAAGATACAACAGATGATTATGATTCAACACTATTTAAACTTCCCGAAACGAGCTCAAAACATATTGTCAATGATGATCCAAATCTTCAAATAATTCCTCCGGATAATGGTAAAAATGACAATAGTACGGGCAGTGATCAAAACTATTCAACAGATGGTGAGACAGAGTCACAGCCTGTTCAATTCACTCGCTATGGAAGGAGAGTACTTCCTAATCGGAAGTACAACGATTACGTATGAGCTCTTGTTGAGCTAAGGGGGATGTCGTGTGTCATTAATAATTAGCGTGCTAATTATTGACAAAAGTCACAAGTTGTGATTTTCTATTATTATAACGTTTTTGTATTAATTGTCCACAAGAGTCACAAGTTGTATTATATGCTATATAAAGCGAACAATATTTTTTGTAAATATCACCTTTGTAGATAAGTAAAAGAAAACGTTAACAACAAAAAAAAATGGCTTTTAAATGTCGAACAACAATACGCAAGACTGTTGCGTATTGCAAAAATTGCAGAGAGATAATTAATAATTGCTGTGTTCTTTGTATTTGAAACCAAGTTATTGATAAACATGTTTATAGTAAATTTTTTTTAGTTTTTAGATAAACAGCTCACAGTTATCTGGAAAGTACATGCTGTAACTGCACATCTGGAAACATTTGTTGATTTGAGTGGCCTTTCCCTTGGACAGTTTAGCGAGCAGACATCTGAATCTTGCCATTCCAAGATGAAAAGTGTAACAAACAGATTTGGAGTTTCGCAGTACAGCAACAAACATAAGGAAAGAAATAAAAAAATTGCTGAAGTGTTCAGTTCAAATAAGTTATAAGTTATTGAACAAACATACATCAGTTGTACATCAAAACACAAACATTATTGAAATCTTATTATTGAAATTACATTGTTAAATCTCATTATCGAAAGCCTATTGCTTGAAATATAAGTATATATATTATGTATATTTTACATAATATATTACTTTATTACATAAATTATTAAATAAACCCGCTTACCGAAAAAAAGTTAATTTTTAATTAAATTTCCTATGCAAAAACGTTTCACATAAAAAAAAGTTATATAAAAGTATTTTGTAAACAAAAAACGGGCCAATCAGAACGTAACAAAGATATCGTAATTACGATACTGTGGGTTAAAACCCATCTTTGTTAGGTTCTATTGGCAATAATTATTTTTAATTTTCTTAAGCAAATAATGATTTACTTATTAACAACCGATTGACGTCTTTTCGACCTCTTTTATGAAGACGTCTTTTTAAAAGACGTCTTTCCACGTCTTTATTTAGGCTGATTATAAAAAGACATGACAAGTCATAAAAAAGACGCCTTTTATTCGTCAAAAGATGTCTTTTTTCCCACTGGGATGATAGGGAAACAAAAAAAATAAACCGCTTTAAAAATATTCTCAATGTAAAAGACGTAACGACTGAAAGAGCGCATAGAATTAAATCAATAATAAAAAGCCAAGAACAATCATAATCAAATTAATTATATATATGTAATATTTATTTATTTATTCTTTTTATCACCCAAATTACAGGTAAAACAAAAAAGTGTTTAAAACTTATTGTTTATACTTTCAGTCTAAAGTCTAATTTAAATTCTTCTTTCCCTCCATCAAATTTGTAAATATTTGTCTTAGTTCTCAGAATTCAAAGGAATAATTCAAAATTGGCGCTATATTGTATCTACGTCATCGTAGTGACGCATAATCTTTGTTTTTTCTTTCAATCGACACTGGACGAAGTTTAGCTCAAGTTGATTGTAAATTTTTAATACTTCGTTGGTAAATAGCTTATTTTTAGTAACATCAGATATCTGAGACGAAATCAGGAAAAACAATTGTTTAGTAGTCTTATAAACAGATTTTATTTGTTTCGAATGATGATGGTAGATATGCCATCAATTTTAAAGGGATGCTGGTAGTTTTTGAATTTTAGTTTTTGAAGGGATGCTGGTAGTTTTTGAATTTTAATGCTGACCTTCCAACAGCATCCAACTTATTAAGAAGTTAATTATTATAACAACAAATTTCTGAGCCGTATGATAGATTTGGTACAGCCAGAGATTTGAACAAATGTACTATAGTTAATGGTTGACAAAAACGAAAACCAATATTTTATAAGAGCTCGAGCTTTTATATAGTTTCATGGCATTTTTTTAGAATTTAAAGTCAAACCTCCAGATCTGGAGGTTTGACTTTAAATTCTAAAAAAATGCCCTCAGAAAGCGTTTTTGAAAATTACATTGAAAATATATTTTGATTCAAACTTATAATTATATACGGCCAGCCAGAGCCAAACTGCAGCAGTTATGTCACAGGATTCCAGATCATGAAAGCAGTAATAGGCATAGAAAATGCTAACGTTTCAATTAAAATGGAATCGAAAAAATGTTGTTAAATTTTAAAAAGAATTATTGGTGTTATCCTTTTCATAGAAGAACTGATTGAAGAAGAAATGATTTACAAAATGAAATTATTGCAGAATGTTTGGATTTTTTTAAACAGCATGTTTTGAAAGAAAAGAATTCTGCAAAGTACTATGCAATAATTGTAGATCACACAACAGATTGATGTTGAACAAACAGCATTTATTTAGTTTGTAATGAATCACAATATAAAACTTGATACGATTTTTGTAATTTGTCGGTTGTAGTGAAAAAAATGGAATTGGTTGTACCTTTCATGGTATATCTTGCGTCAGATGGTTGGATTAAGTTTAAAGTGTCAAACTATTTTAAACATACCTTTCAGAGATAAATCTGGCTTTGGAAGTCATTTTCCAGCTTAAATCTTTCTCCAACAACAAGAAGTAAAACTTGTGAAGAAATATGTTGTATCGTTAATTTTATCTGCATCATTGTTTCAGTTGTGTTGCGCAGAATATTAATATTGACTTTAACAACAAAGTTATACTAGCTAGTAACGCAACTTAGACCACAGGCCATCTAACTGTATTGATCAGTTTCGTAGTGCAGTCTAACCGTTTAACAAATTATTGTGCGTTTTAAGGTCTAATAAATTGATAGTTAAAATTTCTCAACTGGTAAATACGCAGTTTTTAAGATATAGCTCTTTTAAATTTTCAATTTTCGACCTTATCGTGTGTTTCAATTCCTTTACACCATTTTTTTCTAGTCGATTTATGTTTGTGTATTTTACAGAAGACAATAAACAAAGACATTAATTGTAAAAACCCAATGATATATTAAATAAACTAGAAATAAAAGTGAAGGCATTCCTCTATAATAAAAATATTTGATAACTTGATTCCACTTCAACAGTATTCTTTTAGAAAAAATAAGCCTAAATGGGTGATCAAAGAAATTAAAGAAATTCTTCACCTCCGTAACAATAAGCTGAAGAAAAAAACTGCTACAGGGTACGATGGTCTACTAGCATTTGCTTTAAAAAAATTACCTGCACCTATTTCGCCAAACATAACAGCAATTATTAACAAAAGCATTGAAGATATCTATTTTTCAATAATGTGGAAAAAAGCAAATGTAGTAGCCGCCTGGAAAAATAAAGGATCGAAATTGAAACCAAAGAATCATAGACCTATTTTAATACTTCCCGTAGGAAGGATGTTTGAAAAGATAGCTAGACAACTGTCTACTTTTTGTGACGTGAATAAGACAATTCCTCCAGAATAATATGGATTTAGAGTAAAATCGAGTTGCAAATATGCTCTTATAAAGGTTGTGGACGTTTGGATGCGTAGCATTGATCAGGGTAAATTTGCAGGTGCTATTATGATTGACCTGTCTAAGGAATTTGAATTCGTTCCACACCAACTTCTTATTAACGAACTATTCAAAATAGGCTGTAGCTTGAGCACAATATCCTGGTTCACACAGCTATTTATCCGATAAGGAGCAGAGAATCATTCAGGCTAATCAAGTAACCCAGTGGAAGCTAGTGTCATATGGATTTCCTCAAGGAAGTGGACTATTATGCACTAACAACGAAATTGGTGCATATATTTTATAAAACCAAAGACTTCTTTACGTCTTATGGCTTCACGATAAATTTGTCAAAGACACAGTTTATAATATTTAAGAATCCTAGAAAGAAACTGCCGGATAATTTACAGTTTGTAGTATGTTGTATACTCAATCCAGTTAAATTGTTAGGAGTAACCCTTGTCTTTCATCTAACTTTTGGTCTTCATATAGATAATATTAAAAAAAAATGTCATGGTATCTTCGAAGTTCTTTCGAGAGCTAGTCGGTACCTAACTCAAGATATTCTGAGATTGGCTTATATATCATTAGTAAAATCTCAGCTTGAGTATTCTAGAGCAATTCTTGTTTCTGCATCACCATCACAGTTAAAGAAATTAAACATAGTTCAAAAAATTGCTTCACAAAGTATTTGCGGAGCAAATCAAGATGCTTATTCAGCCCCTTTTCTTACTAAATTAAAACTGAACTCACTAAAAGATAGAAGAAAAAAGCATGTAACTGAACTTGTTCGTTCTATTATAACAAGAGATTTTCATCCAGCTTTTTACGACCTATTTGAAGATCGTACCGAGGGAAAACTACTCTCGTATTAAAATCGGTCAGAGACGATTTGTTGTAACTGGCCATTAGATATTGAATAATAGTTGAGCAAACTGAGAGAGAATTACAAAATAACAAATATGAAAAAATATATAAAAAATAAAAATAAAAAACAAAAGAAAACAAAAAATACAGCAACATCAATTCGAGGAGCGGAAGAAGGATCGATTATTTAAACTATTGTAAATAAAACTTATTAACACTGTACTTAGCTCTTATCAAGTATAAAAAAGAAAATATAATAATAACAATAAGCCGCTTTTTTTTGTTTACAAGTATAGTCCGCCATTTGTAAAAAGGGCAAAAGCTGAAGCAGATGTGTGGAATAAAAGTTAAAAATAAAAGTCAAATGTTCCCAATAAATTAAAGATAGTTCAAAAAGATATAAATTAAAAATAATTCCTGTTTTAATAATTATAAAATACTTATTAAAGTTTTTTTATGAGTCAATGATTATTAAAAAGTATTATAATTCATAAAAATGCTTCAAAAGCGTCTGTCGTTTTACTTTTTTATTCAAAATTTTAATCCGATTCTAATCTAAAATACATTTTGGAATCATAGACTATAATTTTACAAGCATTCTAATTTCCTCTTACCACTTTTACATAAATAGTATTTATATTCAAAATATATTTACTTCATTTAAGAAAAGAAAGTTAAATAATATTTGTTTACAAATTTAATCCGCCATTTGAAAAAGGGTTAAAAAGCGGCTTTACTTTTCGAATCAAAGTTAGACATCTAGTTTTTATAATATATCATAGTGTAAATCATTAAAAATTGTATTCCATAAATTACACATCAATAATGTTTTTGAATTTCATAAACTAAATGTCAACAGAGTGCCAAACTTCGTACCGGCTTGTTAATTTAAGTGCAAATCGTTGGCGTATTGATTAAATTTACACATTGCAAACTTATTTATAAGAGGAGCCTAGTTGCTAGCAAAAAGAAAAATTGTTGCGGAGAATTCTCTTAAGTTTGTTTGGAAGATTGTATATTTATACATTAATATTGTTAAAGATTATCATTAAAATTATAACATTAAATAGGTTGCAGGAAGTACTCATACATTTTATTATTTAAAATGTTATCAAAAATTTACCGAAAAAGAATGAAGTAATCTGACGCCAGTAATAAAAGATGATCTGGTCCATCAATAACACTTAACATCAGATCTAGAATGTGCAGTAGAAAAAGAGACAGTTTTAATCACATTTGTAACAGTAATAACTATTAAAAGAACCCACACACATTACCAGAAATTTGAATAATTTGTTAAGGCGAAAAATTAATTGAACAATATTTAACGTAATACTTAAAGTAAGTGAACAAGGTAAAATTATTTTATATAATGTATAAAAAATTTCCTCATATTATATATCTAAATAATGTAAGGGGCCATCCAAAAAGTACGTACACAGGTATAGGGGGAGGGGGTTACCCAAAAGCGTACAAAAACGTACAGTGGAAGGGGGGGGGGGGGGGTTTAAAGACAGTGAGTACGTACGCGGTTTGACTATCTCTCCTAAACTTGATTTTACTTTTTATTTTTATTAAAACATTGAATTTCACGTGTGTAACAAATCAGTTTTGTATTTTTTTTTCTGACTAATCACAATTTTATTTTTAATTTCTTTTATAAATAATGAGAGAAATTGTTAGTACAAGTTTTTAACCCAAAATATAATAAAGGCATTCTTGTTTGTTCTTCCAAATAGTTAATTGTTTGGTTTTGCATTCATCATCATCATTCATTATCATCATTTTTGCATACATCTTTCTGTCCGTACAAAAGTTTGAATTTGCTGGCATGTCTTTTTCTTTCCAATTAAGGTAAGTCTTTTCTTTGCTTTAATTTTTATTGATGTACTTCTTGAAATTTGAAGTGGAGATTATTCTCTGAATTTAACACAGGAATACCTTTTTTTTCCCATTAGGCTTTATTTGCTGTACCAACTGATTGCAATACCATCGAATTGTATCTCCGAGATTTCATACCCAGCTAACACAAAACGTTCAAGTACGTTTGACTAACGTTGCGAACGTTCGAGCGCGTTCTATAAACGTTTATAGAACGTTAATGAACGTTTTTCAAACTGTACAAAAAATAGAGTTTGCTCCAGCTCCTATGCCCTCTATCTTATACCCTTTTGCTTCAATTCCATCTTTCTAACACTAAATTCTTTGTATTAATTCTTTGTTGCAGTCATTTAGTTGCATAATGTTATATATATAAATTTAATAATATATAGTATTTAAATAAGAAAATTATTAAATAACTAATCTTCTATCCCAAAAGATTTAATGATTTTCTAAGTTAGTGGACCAAAAAAATATTCTTATATGATATATATCGTAGTTATGATATTTTTTGTTTTTATATTACTTTGTAGCATTTTTTTAAAGAGTATGTTTGATGATTTGCAATAGTTGCACGCTGACTGTCATTTTGATACAGATAAATAAAATTGACTTAAATTAAATTGGGGAAAACATCAACAATCAAATATGTCTGCTGTTTTAATAGATATATTAATGATAAATTTATAAATTTAAGTATAATAATAGTGATAAATAGTCAGTGACTCATGTGAGTATATATGTAATCCTTTTAAAAGATTAGCAATATAATGGTTGGTGAAAATTAATAAACACAGTAAGAATATTATATATATTTAATAAGCATTATTTTATCTGACGAGTGTTGATTAAAACTAATTAAAATTATATAGTATATTAAAATATAAACATGTGATGTGTAAAATTCAACACTAACATTTTATTTTAATATTTTTTACAGCTCTTATTAAAACAAAATACTCAATGAAGAAATGCTCAAAGAAGTAGTTTTAACAAAGATCTAAAAGTTTTTAATTTGCTAGGCAACTGTGAAGATACACGATACAAGATAATAAAATTCTTTGATATGTTTTTCAACAAAAATGTAATTTCAATGGTTATTTAATTTGAAATAAGCAATTGAAATTATAAAATTTATCTTTTATATGTTAAGCAATTTAAAAGTAATTTTGAAATAATTGCATTGATTCTTTATGGGGTTCAATTATCCACTGTATGGAAAGTCTTCACAATAACAGGTTAGCACTGCGGGGATTAGCTATAGGTGATGAAGCTAAATCACTTGCTAAGTCTGTTCAAAATCTATTGTTGTCAGAAGTATTCTGGGATAAAGTAGATGGGTTTATTAAGTTATTAAAACCAATAGTCATTGCAATTAGAGCTGTCGAAGGAGATAAAATAAGTCTCTCCATTGTGGCCAAAACTTTTTCCGATTTAGAAAAATTTTTTCAGGACAATATTCTTTGCAACCAAATACTAAAAAACAAAGAAAATGCTATGATGGAAATAAGTGCCAGAAGAAGAAAATTTCACATACGAAACATTCACTTGGCTGCAAATTTAGTGGATCCACGATATAAAGGATGTCATATCTCTGGAGATAAAACAGTGTGTTTATAATTATTTAATCTTTATTTGAGTGTTTTTTTATCCTGAAAAAAACGAAAAACTTTTTGAAAGTTCTATTAATAAACTTTTTTACATTTATAATGAATTATTAATTGATTAAAAACATCTGTTTTAGATTGATGCCATTGAAACCCTTCATAACTTAGGAAAACTGGATCCTTCGATTAAGGACTGTGATGACTTTTTTCAAAATCTTTTATATGGGCTTCAGTAAAACACACAACTCCTGCAAGTTGGTGGAAAGGAATATGTTGTTCATGCGCTCCAATACTGTCAAGTATTGCAAGTAAAATTCTATTACTTCCATCAACAAGTGCGGCAGTCGAAAGAACACTCAGTCGACAATATTAGATCCACAATCAAAAACGGAATAGATTAACAAATGACCGAACATCAAAACTAGTTTTTATTTCTCACAATTTAGAACTCAAAAATCAAAAATGTGATACAGAATCATCAACAGCTCAAACTCAAAGCCAAGAATTTAATCTAGGCAATCTTACTGTACAGAGTTTAGAGGAAAACATATTAAGTGACTCCGATGAATCCGTACCTTTCTTTTCTTACAAAACTAATGACCGTCCTTCATTTTATTGCTCTTCGAAAACTTAACAAATTTTTACATGAATTAGCACTCAAAGAGATTTTGATTTACAATAGAATGACTTCTTTGTATATTGTAATCGCGACCACTGATCTCAATAATAACTGGATAGCGCATTTCTAATATCAAAATTGACGCCAAAATTGCCATATTGGAAAGCCCCAAAAGTTTTGGGGCTTTCCAATATGGCGTTGAGCGTTTTGGCCCAAAACGCTCAACGGAGTTTGTAAATACAGAGATTGCGCTTGAAGATTTGTTATTGCTTTACTTTCTACTTCCTTTATATTTACTAAATTATAGTTGCATATTTCAATCATATTGTTATATTAAAAATGTTTGAAAGTTTGAAAATTCACAAAAGCACGAAAAAAATTAGAGTTGAATGAAAATAAAGAATATAGGAGAACAGACTGTTTAATAATTTGTATTTGTTGTGTATAAATTTGTGACCTTTATTAATCTTCTTATGTTTAAAATGAAACTATTTTGCTGAAAGTCAAAAATAATATTTACTCTGGTTACTTTAGAATGTTTATTGTTACAACTTGATGCAATTTTACTTTATAATAGCAGTGAGAAAGTAACTTTGCAAGTATAAAACATGACAAAAAAATATTGTCTCAAAGATTTTTTAAATGGTTTTCATAGTTTTTAAAAAACTCAGGATATGTTGGTTTCTTCCGCGACTGCCAAAGTAATATCATCAACTTTACAATTGTAGATTGAAATTGATAATCACACACTACCAAGTTTTAGTTAAGTTAACAAGTTTTATTTCTGTCGCTTCACAAACTTTTATTCCACTTATAAAAAGTATGAAAAAGCTCTAAATTTAATAACTACTAAGTTTATATGTTGTTACTAAGTTGTTTTTCTGCTATTTTGGTAACATATAGTTTTTCATCAATCAAAGTATGAAAGATCTAAAGATACATGTGTAGTTTTATTAAAGTAATTATTATTTCAACTTACATTTATCAGTTGTATGCTGATAATTAATGGTTGAATAATAATAAATCGTGTAAATTATTGTACTCAAAAACAAAAGAGAAAATAAAAGAAATGCAGGTATAATTATTAATTTTTGTTATAATTTTTTAATTATGTTAGGTTATTCTAGAGCATTCTTTAAGTACAGAGTGCTCAATGTTCTTAAAGAACAGCAATAATAAAATAGTAAAAAACTAATTTTCTAATTTTTGTCTTCAACTTCAAAAACTCATCTAACCAGGAAAAAAGATTTCTTCCTGGTTAGATAAGTTTTTTTACTAAAAACAGTGTGAACACATCGAATTATTTACTAAGGAACAAGCCATCAACTTTTAACAAAAAGCATGTCTGTAGTTTGAGATAGTTGTATGAAAAGATGGTAATCTGTGGTCTAAAAGCATGAGAGATATACTATCATACTGGTTGTTGCCAAAAAACATTTTAGCACATTTGTTGAAGCAATAATGAAGGCATGCCATTGTTTATTCATTATAATTTTGCCGCAGAGGAGCACCATATAAACAAATGCAATACGATTTAAACAATTTAACGTTTACTCTGGTAGAGCATAAATGAAAGCGTCTAATTAAAATATTTGTACATGTGTAAAGACCCTTTATCTCCTTGGTTATATCAAGATTATCAAATATGTCGTTTTTAATAACATAGCCAAGATATTTAAAAGATTCAACAAAAGCAATTTTACAGCCTGATATGCATAATTCTGGGAAGGAGTTTGATATAATTTTTTTGGGTTAAACACCATACATACGGTTGGGTTAAACACCATAAGACCAAGATGGTGCAATTAAAACCATATCATTAGCGTAAGCCACATATATTACACCCAATAAGTAGTTTTGAGATTAATAAAATCATATTCTGTATGTAAAAGTTAAATAGAAGTGGTGACAACTCCAAAACTATTTTCTGCCATCAAACGAACATTTGTTGATTACTATACCAAAATGCAAGCAAACAAACAAGTTTTTTGGGTAACCCATTATCTAGTAATTTCTGAAACAATAGCCAGTAATTGACACTGTCAAATGTTTTATTAAAGTATATATATATATATATATATATATATATATATATATATATATATATATATATATATATATATATATATATATATATATATATATATATATATACGCTTATATATATATACGCTTTTGTGCGCAGAAAAGTATTAAAAATTCTACTGAATTAAATAAAAGTTATCGACTAGAAAAAAGTAAATAAATAAATAAAGTCTACGGAATTGAAGTATAATAAAGAAACAACTAAAAAGCCTACGAATCTACTAACTAAAAAGATCTTATCAACATCAGGTATGGCTGTAACACTTAAGGTGGTACACCACTAAAAAAACAGTGATTTTGGAGTAAATTTTCAAAATTAAGTTTTTGGACTCGTTTTTTTTTCAAATTTTATCCTTTTTCATTTGATATAACCATCTTATATTGTTTAATTACATAAAACACTTTAAAAATGCATTTTTCTAAAGTTATTGAAAATTTTGACCATAGCAACGCCTTAGCAACAGAATAAAAAACCCTTAAAATCTATGCTCAAGCTTGGCTATGCTAGGCTTCTTTTTTATGGAATATGCTTAGACTATGCTAGGCTTCTTTTTTATATTCGTAAAGTTTTGAACTATACTTTAAAGGTACATTTGTTTTGTGACAATTTAAATAGTTGTTGTTGTAACTTTTACATTGTAATATCAATTTACTTTGATATTTACTTTGTCTGAGATATATTTGTTAATATGATTTAATAACTTTAGCTTTATATTTAGTGTATATAAAAATGAGTTCAGGAGGAAAAGAAAACTACATCAAAAATATAAAGTTTGCAACAAAAAAAAACCTTTCTAGAAAAAAGCATAGAAAATGGAACTGTGTTATATCAAATAGAGTATCTTGTAAGACCTCAAATTTTATTCAACCCTCTTGTTCTAGCGTGGTGCAGGTATTGGAGTAAAACAACGCAGTATATACCATCAAATTCAATTCCAGTCTGGATGAAAAATCTGCTAATATCAATTTTTAAAAGCTTACAAGGCAATCAACTGCTATCTAAATGCCTTCATGGTAAGACACAAAATCCTAATGAGTCCTTCAGGGTCCTCATATGGTCTAGAGTTCCAAAAAACACTTTTGTCAGTAGAGAAATAGTTGAAATGGGAACTTACTCTGCTGTTATTTATTTTAATGATAGTAGTGAGGGTATTTTGGATGTTTTAAAAGAGTTCAATTTGACTGGGTATATAACAGTAATGACATTTATTCAGTTTGACAATTCTCGTGTGAATCAAATAAAGCGAAAATCGACACAATACCATGTGTATAAAGCAAAGAAAAAAGTTAAGATTAGTAACCAAAGGGTTCAGTGATAAACAAAATTTAAATGAAACTAATCACTCATATGTTTCTGGTGGACATTAACCAAGATTTTACTGAAAAAAACTTTAAATGTGTTTTTTACAGTTTTTCATTTTTGTAATACTAGGGTAACTTTGAAACATAATATCTTTGTATTGGGTAATGATTTTTGCCTGAAATTTTCAGGGTATACTCAATATACTCAAGAAATTCGGTTAACAGATGGGATTTAAAAAATTCTTCTTAAATATTTTTAAATAAAGTAATTAGTTCACATGTTAAGTCAAGTTACTTAGAATTTCAAGCATATTTTTAATAATTCGTAATAAAACTTAAAATATGTCCTTAAATATTTCAACCGGAATAAAACATTATAATGCAACCGGAATAAAACATTATAATGCAACAATATACTAAGTTTGAACTAGAGAAAATGTATATAAGGGAAGATATCACGTCATAAAGTTATTGAATTTTATGCATTTTTAAAGCAGTTTTTCCGCCATTATGAATGTAAAAAAAACTTTTAGAAAAAAATTTCATTTCAAATGTTTTTTTTTATAAATTTATAATCAGAAAAATATTAGTTTTTGGTTTTATTCCTATTTTAAATTGAAAAAGTGCTTTTTAGTGGTGTACCACCTTAAAGAAATAAAAAAAATGATGAAAGAAATGCCTAATGATTTTAAAAAAGAAACTTTAGTTTTATTAAAAAACCAAGAAAAAACAGTAATTGATATTATTAGTGCAAATACAAAAATATTAAACGAACGATTGGATAAATTTGAGAAAAATATCACTCAAAATGCAAACATGATTAAAAAAATTGAAATAGAGCTTGAAGATATAAAAGAAAGTTTAAACTTCAACGAACACGTAATTGATAAAAAGATTGAAAGTAACAACAAACATTTTTTAAACAAAATCCGTAACCTCGAAGATAGATCGCGGAGAAATAACTTGAGAGTTGAGGGAATATGTGAAGACGAAGTAGAATCTTGGGACAAAACCGAAGAAAAAGTTCATTCATTTTTTCTACAAAAACTGGGTATAAAGAGTATTGAAATTGAACGAGCACATCGCACTGGGCCAAAAAAAGATGGACGTTCGAGGGTGATAGTTTTAAAACTTCAACAATACAAAGACAAAGCTAAAATTTTGAAAGAATCAGCTCGTCTCAGAGGAACAAACATTTATGTAAACGAGGATTTTTCTCGTGAAACAGTTGCAATCAGAAGAAAACTATTTGCGGAAGTAAAAGAACGACGTTTAAACGGTGAGAATGTTTCGGTTCGTTACGATAAAATTATTTCTTTTAAAACTAATATTTTAAAAAACGTTCCAAACAAATCGAATTACGCATTCTAAAAGAGAAACCTTAACCTAATTTTAATAATCATGGCTTTTATGAACGATTTTGAATCCATTTCTTTTAATTTTTTTGAAGGAAACCACTTTTCCTCTGATAAAAACATAGACCCAGATAATAATTTTTATTACGATACTTTTACGGATTGTGCTTATTTTTATCCTAAAGAGCTTGAAGGTTTTCTTTTTCAGAATGCAATTAAAAAAAGTTCCAATCAAATTAGAATTCTCCACCTCAATATAAGAAGCT